ATTTATTTTATTTTTTTTGGTTGAACTATAAATTTGTCACTTACTTGAATTATGTATCACTGGGAGTTAATCAATCACATATTAAATATTTTGGTTTTGTAATTAGGTAACACATATGTGGTAAGAAAATTCACAGTACAAATTGTATTAGTTCTGGGGCAGGGTTTGGGTGCAGCAGCTCATCTGCCCCTGGGGACATCCGCATCCCATCTCGGAGTGCCTGGGTTTGAGTGCTGGTTCCTCTGTTTCTGATCTAGCTTTCCCTAATGCACACCCTGAGAAACAACAGGTGATGGCTCAAGTACTTGAGTCCCTGCTACCCACATTGGAGAGCTGGGTTGAGTTCCAGGCTCTTGGCATTGGCCTCGATCAGCTTCGGCTTGTTGGGAGCATTTGGGGAGTGAACCAGTGGATGGGAGATCTGTCAATCTGCATATCTGTATTTCTCTGCCTTTCAAATGAACAAAATTAAATTTAAAATTATATTAGTTCTGCTATATTTTTATTGTTACCTCAGGAATTGGGACACCAATATTTTAACATCTGATTCTGGATTAGAGGCAACTCTAAAGCCACTAGGCAAGAAGAGGGGAGCAGAGAGCTGGAGGGGCAATTCAAGATGAACCTATCAGCCACAACCCAAGAACATGCGCAAAAAACCAATAAAATCAAGCCTACAAAACCAATAATCAGGAAATGAATCAATTTTGTTTGAATATGTACAATAGAAATAAATCTATAGATGACTTTAATTGTTTAGGCTCTGGAAAAAGTTAAAGAACAGAATCACATCTCTTTTAACCAGACAAATTCTAAGGAACAAATTCTAAGGAGAAATGAAGCAAGAACAGGTGGCTATGACAAAAAGTCAGTGCCTGGGGATCCCTGCATCCACACAGAAGCGGTGACTGCCGGCTGCTGTCACTCATGCCACATCTCTCCAACAAACACGTGTTTGCTGTGCTCCGGCCAGTCAAGGGGTGGGTGGCAGGTGAGGGCAAGCGGGGTGGAGCAGTTTCAGTCTCTTCATCTAGAGCCCTGCCCCACAGCACCTTCATGCTCTCTCCCTCCATTTGTACTTCCCATTGTGTAGGAAGCAATGGGTCAACAGACCAGTGAGTCCACTGCCCAGAGATCCCGGAGCGGGGAGCGGTTTGCCAGTCCCTGCTTCCTGCAAGCACCCTCAATCTCCATAGTCCTTCTCCCTTGGCTCTGTAAAAGCATAGCGCCCCCGTGAGGGAGAGAAAGGATGGGGCTCTTTCCACAGCAGTGCGTTTCCCTACAGGCTGCCTCTCTGGCCTCTCTTTCTAGAGCTTAGCAGTAATGGTATGAGATGGTTCCCTATTAGGACATTTATAGTGGCTTCGTTCTTTTTAATGGCTACATAGTATTTCATGATATGGATATACTATTATAAATCCCTCCATGATATTTTGTTTTTCTCTAGTCTTTTGCTATTCAAACAGTGCTGTCCTGAATAGTCTATACATCTCTTTCTATGGAAAGATTTTCAAAAAAGTTACCTAAAAGCCCTGATAAACACTTGGCACCCAGAGTACAGTCCCTTTTAATTATGCTGCAATTGGTCACACAGTCTTTTCCTAGCTATTACTTTTAGTTGCATAGCTTAGACACTATGAATTCACAACGTTTTTGCTCAAAGCTGTATCCAAGTGATGTTTTCACATGGATTTAAGCAACAATTCAGGACCCACATTGAAACTAGGATGCTACAACTACCAATGAGGGAGTGTGGACTATTGTTTGAGAATGGGAGCTCTGGTCACATGTTCAAGGCCCAGTGATGCCAGACAGCAAAGGCTGCCTGGTCCCCAGATCCCTGAGCTCCCTTCAGAAAAGAAGTCGGCAGAATAACAAGTAATGAGTAGCAACTGTTTCATTGAGAGAGAAAGATGCACACTCCACAGATAGGTAGGACCTACTCAGAGGGGAGTTGCCTCATTTATGAACTTTGTTTAACATTATATTGGTCATCCAGTGAGAGAGGAGATACATTCTAATAAAGGGAGAAGGATTCACAGTTTTTCTGGGGAGTAGGTGGAGATGTCCCAGAATCTAGCTTCCTCCCCCGCTTCACTATTGACATGGTCTCTTGTTCCTGCCATGGCGGCTGGTAGGTGTGTCACTTAGCATGCTAATGTATTACAAATGAGTGTATAATGAGCTATAGGTCAATCTAGCTGAGCTTTGCCCCCTAAACTTGTATGCACCTGGTCCAGGAAGGGGGTCTGTTTATCCTCAGAGCGTAGGGAACCACACATCCTGTAGGTCTTGAACAGGAACCACCCCCCAGGGGGCACAACTGCTCCCTCTGCCTCCCTGTCTCACCAGCACGGCCAATATTTGCTGGCCTGACAGTAAACCTGTATAACGTTCCAATTTTTCATTCATAAAAAGAAGTGAATATAGGATTGACTTCATGGGAATGTGGTAGGGATTAAGTAAGAAAATATGCATGCTTTTTTTAAAAAGATTTATTTATTTTATTTGAAAGTTGGAGTTACACACAGAGAGAAGGAGAGGCAGAGAGAGAGAGAGAGAGAGAGAGAGAGACCAAGGTCTTCCATTCGCTGGTTCACCCTCCAATTGGCTGCAACGGCCGAAGCTGCACTGATCCGAAGCCAGGAGCCAGGAGCTTCTTCTGGGTCTCCCATGTGGGTGCAGGGGCCTAAGCACTTGGGCCATCTTCTACTGCTTTCCCAGGCCATAGCAAAGAGCTGGATTGGAAGTGGAGCAGCCGGGTCTCAAACTGGCACCCATATGGGATGCCACAGCGCTGGCTTCCTATGCATGCTTTTTAGGATAGCTCCTGGCACGTAAGTGTTCAATAACTATCAGTTAAACATACAGACTTCAATTTAGGTGGCAACTGGATAAACAGAAACTTTTTAGCAAGGCTTAAGCTTGTACCTGGACAAGTAATGACAAATGTCTCATAGCTTTCTCCTTCATTTGCCACAGGCAGATTTCTTTGTTTCAAAATGTTAAAATGTGGCAAGAAGCAAATTACACTTATTCAAGAATATGGGAACAGAAACATAGATCTCCATGACTTTTGCATTTATTATTTTAAAAGTTATTTTACTTGTTTGAAAGGGAGAGAGAGAGATTGGGCCAGGTGGAAGCCAGGACGTCAGTCTGGGTCCCCACATGGTCGGCAGCGACTCGAGTACTTGAGCCATCACCTGCTGCCGTGCAGGATGTGCAGTAGCAGGAAGCTGGAGCCAGGAGTGAAGCTGGGCTTCAGCCGTAGCACTCCAATATGGTATGCGGGCATCCGAATCATCGTCTTAACTGATGCATCAAGCATCTGCTCCGGGGCCGCTGTGGCACAGTGGGTTAAGCCATCACCTGCAACGCCAGAATCCTATTTGGGCACCAGTTCGAGAACCTGCTGCTCCATTTCCCATCCAACTATCCACTAATGCACCTGGGAAAGCAGTGGAGGATGGGCCCCTGTACCCACCTAGGTGACTGGTGGGAAGCTCCTGGCTCCTGGGTTCAGCCTGGCCCAGCGCCAGCCATGGCTGTTGGGGCTACCTGGGGAGTGAACCAATGGATGGAAGACCTCTCTTCCTCTCTCTCTGTAACTCTGCCTTTCAAACAAATAAAATAAACCCCCAACAAACAAAAACAAAAATCTGCTCCTGGAAACAATTTCAATATCACTTTGCATTAGATTATCATGTAATAATCATTCTCATTTGAGCTCTCATATGCCAAGCATTTTGCATATATTATCTCATTTAATTTTCACAAAGGCCCATGAGAGACAACCATTATCCTTATTTTGCTGAAAAGACTGCGGCTCTAAGAAATCAAATCAAGAGACATGCCCATCAGCCTACCACTGGGTTGCAGAGAAGGTATTCACACCCAAACCTTTCTGAAAATAAAACATTTATAAATTCCCAGTTTTCCAATGGAGCATCATCTGCCCAAGGCAGAATCAGTTTCTGTAAGTTCTTGAATGCCAAGAGCAAACTTGAAGTCCATTTTGGAGGGAGAGTGAGGTGGGGTTGTGTTACCCATCAGGCAACTTGGCAGTGCAAATGGGGCCCCACAAAACTGTCTTTTTCCTTTAAGAAGAAAAAAATGAATGCGTAGGTCCGAGAAAAAGTTCTACTAATATGCTCATCTCTATCCTGCTGGAGTTGTAAAACATAAATTAAGTATAAATATGGAAATAAATATCTACAACACACAAAGCCAAAGTGCCCAGAGTCTAAGAAACGTGGCCTTGAACTCAGGCGTGTTCAGCTTTTCGGAGCAGTGATACTGGTGGGCCAAGGTGGATCCGGGAGGTGGTGGAGAGACTGTGATCAATGCGCTTCCCTTTCCCTGTCAAAGGCACCCGCAAAGCAAGGTTAAGAGAAACAGAGGTGAAACAGCGCAGCGAGCTCATCAACCCGAGCCTCAGTGCGGCCAGATAAAAACGTGGCATGTGCCTCCTGAGGTCCAATAAACACATTTTGAGGGAAAGCAGTAAGTCCTCAGAACACTGGCCAGTTTACAGTAAGGTGCCAGTAACGAAAAGCTGCTGGCATTAAAAATAATTAAAAAACAAAAAAGTCTTCAAGACCAAGCCAAGCCTCCAAAGACGCACGCCACCAGGTCCGCACGAACCTGCGCAAGTAACTTCCCCAGGAGGCGAGGGCTCGCCACTGCGCTTGCGCCCACGCGCGGTTCCCGGCCCCTCCGAGCACGAGAGCCAGCGGGGCGGGCCTCGGCGCCGGCGCGACGAGTCCAGAGGGGAAGCCTGGGGAAGGGGCGTGGCTACCGGACCCGCCTCGGCCACCCTCTTCCGGGCTCCGCAGCTGCGCGCGCACCTTCCCCCCCTTCTTTTGTGGTCCGGCCCATTGCGAGGGTGACAGGAAACCCTGTGCAGGGAGCGCCGCCATCTTGGACCAACCCGAGGAAGATCTTGAGGGAGCCTCAGGGGCAGTCGCCGCTGCCACCGCTGCTGCCGCTGGCGCGTCTGCACCCCTTGGCCAGCCCGCCTGCCTGCCGGGGCCTCGGCCGACCGCGCCCGCCCCGACTCGCGCTGCGGCCGCACTCCTCTTCCTCGTCCTGACGCCCCCCTCCCGCCCGGAAAGCTGCCCAGCTACCAGCAACCCCCCAGGTAACCCAGGCCTTCCGCAGTGTCCGTCCGGCCAAGGCCTGCTGGCCCGGCCCTTCCGAGGGGCGAGGGTGGGGACGGCGGCGAGCAGGGCCGCTGGCGGGCGGTGCCCCGGGCCAGGCCCTGCCAGGCCGCGGCGAGTCCTGGAGTCGGCGGCGCCGGCCTGACAGGACCCCCGCGCGGAGGCGGAGGTGTCCCCAGCGCTGCTGGCCCGCCCGAGGGCTGCGGGCCTCGCCTGCCCCGCCACCGCGGCCCGGCTGGCCGGAGGCGCGTCTCCCGCGGGCCCCGCTGCGGGGCCGCCCCCGCGGTGTTTACCCCCGCGCGCCGCGCCGCCCCCAGCCCCGGACGCCGAGTGCCCCTCCGGGGTAGGCCGCGGCGAGCCGCGAGTACAAAAGGCAGCCGCTCGCGTTGCCGCTGGCATCGTGGGCCGGCGCCGGTGCCCTTGTCGACGTGGGGGAACCCGCCTGTGGCTGGGGTCGCGGTCGGGGGCTGGGGGGGGTGTGCGTGCGAAAGCACGGGCGTTGGGGAGCCCCTGCGAGGCCCTGAACACGCCTCGTGTCTAGACGTCGTGAGCGAGGGAGAGAGTTGTGGCATGTCTGGAATTTAAGGAAAGAAACGGACAGGAGTGCGTGGAGGGCGTGCTCGCCGCTGTGTGCGGGGCACGGACGTAGGAGCCTGTCCGCGCACACACGCGCCTTGGAGCTAAGTTGTCACCGTTTTAGGGGCGAGGAAACTGAGGCCTGTAGTTGTGCTGTGGCTCATGGTGGCCTCTGCACACCGGCTTCTCCCCACACTGGCTGCTGCTTTCTGAGCTGCACGCAAAGTCCGGCGGGGGCTCCAGACAACGGGCACTTTAGGTATAGCCAGAACTCCATTCCCGTTTTTTCCCCTCTGTTTGCATTGGCTGACAGCTGATTGCTTCTTGATGACCCGAAGCTCTGGCAGTCGCGACGCTGTCAGAAACCGTCATTCTCAGTCCCGGAGCAGAGAGGCAGGAGTTCCATTTGACGTGTGAGAAGTGGGCAGGTGCCGTGCCGGGGGCCCACGGGGAGTGTCAGGGCGCAGACGGCAACTCCTGCGAAGTTCACTGCTCCCCGCATTACTGTCCCGGCTGCCTTGTGTTTACACGTGCTTACTGAGGACAAGGTAGCCTCAAGTCCAGTGAGCCCGCCTTCAACCTGTTTCCCCTGTGCCTTTCCAGCCATTTTTCTTCTGAGTTCTGCTGAGGTGATTTTACTTGGTCATGTCTTGAGGCATGTAGTGGTTTAGCGTTTGGGAGTCTTGGGGTTCCCACTCCAGTACTGCCACTTCCTAGTTCGTTAGGAGACCTTAGGCAAGTTACTTAACCTCTGAGACTCTGTCCTTACCTATAAAGGGGTGGTAGTCCTGCATCTTAGAGTTGCTGTGAGGATTAAATGCTAGTTAGACATTGCATGGCATATAGGTAGTGCCTGGGAAGTACCACGCCCATGCTGGGTATTTAATATCTGTTGATTGAGAGGCATGGCTTTGGAGAGCTCAAGAATTAGACTTGGATTTTAATCCTAGCTCTCCGTCTGATAGCATATGACCACTGCTCTGTCACCTTTCTGACCTGGCATCCTTATTTGTTTGTAAAATGAACTGTTAGGGTTAGAGGTTATAAAGTAGCTGGGGTATATCAGACACTCAATACATGGCTGTTGTCAGATGTAAAATCTTCACATTCGAATAGCAGTTACGAAATTCTTGGAATTAAAGCTACATTTTAAAAAGTTTTTGTATTTTTCATGTTAAGGGTTGTATTTGTTCATACTTAATTTTGCACAGAATTTAGTGTTCTTACAGATCGTACAGATTTTTATCAATATCAAATACTTTTGCATAATCTTAGTAAAATATTGTACTATTGGAGTAAACTTTTGGTTGAAACAGTAAACTATTGAGTGATTTACTTTTTTAAATATCTAAAAATGCTAGGCATGGATAGAAACAATGTACAAATACATGTTAGAGATACTGTACCTATTTTTTAAAAAAACTTTATTTTAGGTAGTTTTAAGCGTAAATAAAATAATTTACTGAGTCTTAGATACACACCAGCCAATGTTAACAATAATCATTCTTCATTTTTATAAACCTTTCTCTTCCCTGCCAAATTATTTTGAAGCAGATCTCATCACTAAACTTCTCACTGTTTACTAATCCTTTTAACTCTAGTGGTAAGTGCAGGTTTTTTTGTGGCAGGAGGGGATTGTCATTAAATGTTTTTCTTCTGTGAACAGAGGTGCAATGTAGAAGTACTTTGGTTTCCTATTCATAGCACACCAGCATAATTAACTGCAAGATTTTTTTCTCTTGACACATTAAGCAGTTTAGTCACTTTTTCTTATCTACATTATTAATTTATATAAAAGTATGGCATTAAATGTTTTGCTAGTGAGTGGGTTATTTTCAGAGACTACTATGGTTGAGGAAAGGAAATTGACCACTCATTTTGATTAAATCAGATTGTTAGATGGACTGCCAAAGTTTTATGTTTGTCTGACAAATGAAGTGTCATTCCATTTCAGTGGGCTTGTAAACAAATCAGAATGCTCTGTTCTTGGCCTTCCATGAAGGCAGAGATGACATTGTCATTTTGATCATTACTATATTGTCAACGTGAGTTAAACTATAAAAGAACTAAAAAAAAAAAAAACCATCCTCTATTATTGGGTGTTGGTTTTTTATTTTGAGGCCAAATCATATGATTAACCTATATCATTGGTAAATGGGGAAATACATTGGAAATGTTATGAGTGGGAGTTTTTGTTTTTCTTTCATTATTATTAATCCAGTTTGCATATTGGAATTATATATACAAATGCTCTTTAAATATTTACTGACCCTTTATTTCCTATACCTGTTATTTTAGAACATACTGCCAAGTGAATATAGTACTTGTTCATTATATTAAGTCAGTATAAAGATGTATATAGTTAATAATTGCCCTCTTTTTTTTACTCTCAGCCCATGCATTCAGTTTTCACCATTTAATGCGTGTTTTTCCGTGTTATATACATACAGGATTGAATGTATGTGTATTTGGAAATTGTATGCTGTTCTGTAAAACACTGCAGCATCCTTTTTCATATCAGAATCAGGGATGTATTTCCCAGGTTAATGCATTTAGAACTGAATGTTTTTTTTTTTTTTAAGATTTATTCATTTATTTGAAATTCAGAGTTACACAGAGAGAGGAGAGAGAGAAAGAGAGAGAGAGGTCTTCCCTCCACTTGTTCACTCCCCAGTTGGTGCTGGAGCTGCGCCAATCTGAAGCAGGAGCCAGGATCATCTTCCCGTTCTCCCACGCGGGTGCATGTGCCCAAGGACTTGGGACATCTTCTGCTTTGCAGGCCATAGCAGAGAGCTGGATTGTAAGTGGAGCAGCCAGGACTCAAACTGGCACCCATATGGGATGCCGGCACTGCAGGCAGTGGATTACTTGCTATGCCACAGTGCTGGCCCCAACTAAATGGTTTTTAAACTAGATGCAAATTATTTCATAGTATAGATTACTTTATTCAGTCATTTCCTTCTTGATTAGAGTGTAGATTATTTCTAGTTCCTTGCTTTAATAATGGTACATTAAATGCACTTACACCTGTGGCCTGGTGGACTGAAGCTTTTGCATTTCTATAGAATACTTAAAATGTATTTTTGAGTGAGAAGATAATTTGGATTTTTTTTTTTTTTTTTTCAATTAGAGCGAGCCAGCATGTGGGAGAGATCACTCCCATCCACTAGTTTGCTCCCCAAATGCCTGTAATGGTGGAGATTGGGTCAGGCCAAAGCTGAGAGGCAAAAATTTAGTCCAGATGTTTCAGGGGACAGTAGTGAACTGAGTCATCATCTGCTATGGCCAAGGCTGTGCTGAAATGGAAGCATAACTGGGACTCAAACCCAGGCACTCCAGGATGGGATGGGGTGCCCCAACAAGCATCTCAATCACTGTGCCCAACTCCTTGTATCTAGCTTGGATTATTTTTAAATATACCAGTTACTTTCCAGAAATGTTTTGGAATTTCAGAATTCTTCAAGTAATGCATACGAAAGTGTCTGCCTTCGTAACTGTACCTGTATATTTTAAAACTGGGCATTGACTTGTATGTCCGTATCTTATTTGGGAAGGTGTCTAGTAAATGGAGATGCATGTTCTGTTCTTGACACAATGATGATATGTTTAATATATATTTAGTGACCATTTAGCTGTAAGTATATTGGCCTGGAAATATATCTGTGATTTTGTTAAGTGAAAAAACATGTTGCAGAGTTTTAGGGGTGATGGCATACCCCATTTTGAAGTACACTTCTCACCTTTAGCAGTGGTATGTTTCACATTCAGAAGATGAAGTTGAGAAGTCCTTTGTTAAAGCAATGTTAAACATGGTTAATATTTAAAAGGGGTCACTTGGGTACAGTTAGTGTTAAATATGCCGCTAGTAAACATTTCTCTTGATATCCAGCAAATTTATAGCTAATTTTTTTTAAAGAAAGAAAGATTTATTTATTTATTTGAAAAGTCAGGTGACAGGGAAAGACCAGTCTTCTATCCATTGGTTCATTCCCCAAATGCCTGTAACAGTCAAGGCTGGGCCAGATTGAAGCCAGGAGCCAGGAATTCCTATGGGTTGGGCCAGCATCTCTGCTTTCCCAGGCTCATTAACAGGAAGCTGGATCTGTGGGGAGTGGAGTAGCCGGGACTCAACCAGTACTGCAGTAGGGGAGTCACAAAGGGTGGCTTTACTGGCTGAGCTACAGCACCCTCAGAGCTGAATTTTACATGTGTTGATAGTAATGCTGTTACCATTCGAATCTTAGTATAGTTTTTCTTCTTGAAATTTTATTTTTTGCTTTTATCACTCTTTTTTTTCTTTTTTTTGGTGTCGTTTTAAAGATTTATTTATTTGAAAGGCAGAGTGATAGAGGGAGAGACAGATCTGCTGGTTCACTTCCCAAATGCCCATCAGCAGCTGTAGTTA